GTTATTCAATAAATTGTGTTGTAACAATTGAGTAGCCACTGGGAAAAAAGGATGTTAGACCCACACTCTACATCAGGAGAGTTTCTAAATGGATCAGTGGCTTAGATGTGAAAATAAAACAATAGAAGTATTTAAAGAAAGTAGACATTTCTTTTAGAACCTTGAAGTAAGGACAGCTTTTCTTTTCTTCTTTTTTTTTTTTTTAAGATTTTTTATTTATTTGACAGAGAGAGCACAAGCAGAGGGAGAGAGGGAGAAGTAGGTTCCCTGCTGAGCAAGGAGCCCAATGTGGGACTCGATCCCAGGACCCTGGGATCATGACCTGGGCCGAAGGCAGCCGCTTAACTGACTGAGCCACCCAGGTGTCCCAGGACAGCTTTTCTAACCATGATACAAATGGGGAAATCAAAGAAGAAAGAATGGACAAAGTTGACTATATAAAAATCAAAAGAGTTCTTCATGAAAAAAAAAGACACACACACACAGAATAAGTGAGGAAAAAACAAAACGAGAAAAGGTCTTCTATTTTTAAATGTTTATGGTTATTCTTGGTAGCATTGTTTATAATAGCAAAAGATAAAAAACAACCTAAATGTCCATCAGTAGGAGGCTGATTGACTGAATATAATGGTTTAATAAATGTTACAGGCTGTGGGTGCCTGGGTGGCTCAGTCGTTAAGCGTCTGCCTTCGGCTCAGGTCATGATCCCAGGATCTTGCGATCGAGCCCTGCTTCGGGCTCCCTGCTCAGTAGGAAGCCTGCTTCTCCCTCTCTCACTCCCCCTGCTTATATTCCCTCTCTCTCACTGTGTTTCTGTCAAAAAAATAAAATTAAATTTAAAAAACCTTAAAAAAATAAAAAATAGGGCGCCTGGGTGGCTCAGATGGTTAAGCGTCTGCCTTCGGCTCAGGTCATGATCCCAGGGTCCTGGGATCGAGCCCCGCATTGGGCTCCCTGCTCAGTGGGAAGCCTGCTTCTCCCTCTCCCACTCCCCCTGCTTGTGTTCCCTCTCTCGCTGTGTCTCTGTTAAATAAATAAAATCTTTTAAAAAAAATAAAATAAAATAAAAAAATAAATTGTACAGGCTAGAATGCTATGTAGTTGTAAAAAAAAAAAAAAGCGAGAGAAAGCTCTTTAATGATATAGAAAGACCTTTAGGTAGGTTATTATTATTTTTTTTTTTTTAAAGCAAAGTGAAGGAATGACTGGGTGGCTCAGTCAGTTAAGCATCCACCTTCAGCTCAGGTCATGATCCCAGGGTGCTGGGATCAAGCCCCGCATCAGGCTCCCTGCTTAGCAGGGAGCCTGCTTCTTCCTCTCCCTTTGCTGTTCCCCCTGCTTGTGCTCTCACTCTCTGACAAATAAGTAAAATCTTAAAAAAAAAAAAAAAAGCAAAGTGAAAACAGTATATTGTATGCTACCTTTTGAGTAAAAGAGGTAAAATATTTTTTATTTCCTTATATATGCACAAAGAAATTCTGGAATGGTATGTAACAAACATTTATACTGGCTATCCAGAAGGTAGACAGGTGAGACTGAGTAGCTGACAAAAAGGTTTCATTTTACAACTATTTTTGGAATCTTTCAAAGTGTATCTGTTAAACTTGCATTAAAAACAAGTCCTTGCTATTTTTTAACTTAAATTCTATTAACATAATTGTTACAATATATTATAACATATAAATGTTATAATAATTAACATATTATTGGTTTCAGACTAGAGGTCAGACAACTTTTAAGCAGTTTTTTTTAAGGAGAGAGGGGCAGAGGGAAAGGGAGAATCTCCAACAGGCTCCACACCCAGCACAGAGCCTATCACAGGGCTAGCCTCAGCAATCAGACAAGAAGAAGAAATAAAAGGCATCTGAATCAGCAAAGAAGTCAAACTCTCACTCTTTGCAGATGACATGATATTCTTTTTTTTTTTTTTTTTTTAAGATTTTATTTATTTATATGACAGAGAGAGACAGCGAGAACAGGAACACAAGCAGGGGGAGTGGGAGAGGGAGAAGCAGGCTTCCCGCTGAGCCGGGAGCCCGAGGTGGGACTCGATCCCAGGACCCTGGGATCATGACCTGAGCCGAAGGCAGACACTTAACGACTGAGCCACCCAGGCGCCCGATGACATGATATTCTATGTGGAAAACCCAAAAGACTCCACCCCAAAATTGCTAGAACTCATAGAGGAATTCAGCAAAGTGGCAGGATATAAAATCAATGCACAGAAATCAGTTTGCATTTCTATACACTAATGAGACAGAAGAAAGAAATTAAGGAGTCAATCCCATTTACAATTGCACTGAAAACCATAAGACACCTAAGAATAAAACTAAAGAGGTAAGGGTCTGTACTCAGAAAACTATAGAACACTCCTGAAAGAAGCTGAGGAAGACACAAAGAAATGGAAAAACATTCCATGCTCATGGAAGAACAAATGTTAAAATATCTACGCTACAGGGGCGCCTGGGTGGCTCAGTCGTTAAGCGTCTGCCTTCGGCTCAGGTCATGATCCCAGGGTCCTGGGATCGAGCCCCGCATCGAGCTCCCTGCTCGGCGGAAGGCCTGCTTCTCCCTCTCCCTCTCCCCCCGCTTGTGTTCCCTCTCTCGCTGTATCTCTCTCTGTCAAATAAATAAATAAAATCTTAAAAAAAAATATCTACGCTACCTAGAGCAGTCTACCCATTCAATGCAATCCCTATCAAAATACCAGCAACTTCTTTCAAAGAAATGGAACAAATAATCCTAAAATCTGTATGGAATCAGAAAAAAACCCAAATACCCAAGTCATGTTGATAAAGAAAACCAAAGCTGGAGGCATTACAATTCCAGACTTCAAGCTCTATTACAAAGCTGTAGTCATCAAGACAGTATGGTACTAGCAGAAAAACAGATGCATAGATCAATGGAACAGAATAGAAAATCCAGAGAGGTACCCTCAACTCTGTGGTCAACTAATCTTCAACAGAGCAGGAAAAAATATTCAATGGAAAAAACACAGTCTCTCCGACAAATGGTGTTGGGAAAATTGGACAGCCACACGCAGAAGAATGAAACTGGACCATTTCTTTACACCATACACAAAGATAAACTCAAAAATGGATGAAAGACCTAGATGTGAGAAAGGAATCCATCAAAATCCTTGAGGAGAACACAGGTAGCAACCTCTTCGACTTCAGCCGCAGCAACTTCTTGCTAGAAACATCTCCAAAGGCAAGGGAAGCAAGGGCAAAAATGAACTATTGGGATTTTATCAAGATAAAAAGATTTTGTACAGCAAAGGAAACAGTCGACAAAATCAAAAGACAACTGACAGAATGGGAGAAGATATTTACAAATGACATACCAAATAAAGGGCTAGGGGCACCTGGGTGGTTCAGTCGTTAAGCGTCTGCCTTCAGCTCAGGTCATGGGTCCTGGGATCGAGCCCCACATTGGGCTCCCTGCTTAGCAGGAAGCCTGCTTCTCCCTCTCCCACTCCCCCACTTATGTTCCCTCTCTCACTGTGTCTCTGTCAAACAAATAAAATCTTTAAAAAATAATAATAAAGGGCTAGTATCCAAAATCTATAAAGAACTTATCAAACTCAACACCCAAAGAACAAATAATCCAATCAAGAAATGGGCAGAAGACATGAACAGACATTTCTACAAAGAAGACATACAAATGGCCGACACATGAAAAAAATGCTCAACATCACTTGGCATCAGGGAAATACAAATCAAAACCACAATGAGATACCACCTCACACCTGTCAGAATGGCTAAAATTAACAAGTCATGAAATGACAGATGTTGGCAAGGATGTGGACAAAGGGCAACCCTCCTACACTATTGGTGGGAATGCAAGCTGGTGCAGCCACTCTGGAAAACAGTAGGGAGGTTCCTCAAAAAGTTGAGATAGAACTACCATACGATCCAGCAACTGCACTACTGGGTATTTACCCCAAAGATACAAATGTAGTGACCCAAAGGGGCACCTGCACCCCAATGTTTATAGCCACAATGTCCACAATAGCCAAACTATGGAAAGGGATGTCCATCGACGGATGAATGGATAAAGAAGATGTGGTATATATAAACAATGGAATACTACTCAGCCATCAAAAAAAAATGAAATCTTGCCATTTGCAATGATGTGGATGGAACTAGAGGGTGTTATGCTAAGCGAAATAAGTCAATTATCATATGATCAGATATGTGGAATTTAAAAACAAAACAGAGGATCATAGTAGAAGGGAGGGAAAAATGAAACAAGACAAAATCAGAGAGGGAGGCAAACCATAAGAGACTCTTAATCTCAAGAAACAAACTGAGGGTTCCTGGAGGGAAGGGCGGTTGGGGGATGGGGTAACTGGGTATGGACATTAAAGAGGGCATGTGATGCAATGAACACTGGGTGTTATGTTGGACTGATGAATTGCTGAACTCTACCTCTGAAACTACTAACACATTATATGTTAATTGCATTTAATTTTTTTAAAAGATTTTATTTATTTGACAGAGGGAGACACAGCAAGAGAGGGAACAAAAGCAAGGGGAGTGGGAGAGGGAGAAGCAGGCTTCCTGCGGAGCAGGGAGCCCCACGTGGGGCTCGATCCCAGGACCCAGGATCATGATCTGAGCCGAAGGCAGACGCTTAACGACTGAGGCACCCAGGCGCCCCGCATTTAAATTTTTTTTAAATGATGAAAAGACATCCCATGCAATTTGTTTAAATGGAGAATATTCTGGTTACACTTTCTAATCAGAGACTAGAAGTTTTAAGATGCTATAAAGAGTCCCTGGGTCAAAATGCTGAAATATGACTTCCCATTCAATGGTCTAAAAAAAAATTAGCTAAAACTTACTTCAACATAGGAAAAATGATCTATGATTTTAGCTAATTTTTATTTTTTAATTAACATACAATGTATTATTTGTTTCAGGGGCACAGGTCTATGATTCATCAGTCTTACACAATTCACAGCACTCACCATAGCACATGAACAACAGATTTTTTTTTTTTTAAAGATTTTATTTATTTATTTGAGAGAGAGCACATGAGAGGGGGGAGGGTCAGAGGGAGAAGCAGACTCCCTGCCGAGCAGGGAGCCCGATGCGGGACTCGATCCCGGGACTCCAGGATCATGACCTGAGCCGAAGGCAGTCGCCTAACCAACTGAGCCACCCAGGCACCCTGAACAACAGATTCTTATCAAATTCTCAGAGCTGGAAATGCCATGCTATTTTTAAGTACATAAAAATCTAAGAAAAAGACAACAATGAAAGCGGGCCACTGGCAGGGCAGAGAACGTGGCTTCTGCAGTAGGAAGGGGACTCCCAGAAAATACTGAAGAGCTACAGTTTCCTAGAGCAGGAACCTAAAGCTTGAGAGACGCCAACAGTTTGTTGTCTGTGCGTGTTTGCATACTGTGTGTACACTGTTTATTGACTTACTCATTTGTTCGTTTATTTTATTCATTCATTCATTTCAGGCTAGCAACTTGCCCTTTCATTTTAAACAAAATAAATGAAAAAGTAGAAGGGAACTGGGGTGCCTGGGTGGCTCAGCTGATTAATCACCGACTCTTGATCTCAGCTCAGATCTTGATCTCAGGGTCAAGCATTCAGGCCCCATATTGGGCTCCGCACTGGGTGTGGAGCCTATTTAAAAAAAAAAAAAAAAAAACAGGTAGAAGGGAATTATATTCTCAAAACTTACATATCTAAAGAAATGAAAATCAATTTAAAGAAGCAGTCGTTTATAGAACATTAATCTAAATTACAAGTCAGGAAACAACACATTTACAGTATTGGTAAGGGATCATGAAAAGCAAAGGTGATCATTCCTAAGACACCAAATATTAAACCCAAAGAAATTATAAATATGCACACTTGCATAGCCTCTAGTCATTTCTAAGCTTTAGTTATTAAGTTGTTTACATCTTAACTATGGAAATAATACACAATTTTCCTCTTAAATTGTACTTTTCCTTGGGAGAAGAAAAAGAAGGAATATGTACAATGAATAATAGACACTTTAGATAGAAATCTGAAAAATTGGAGTTAAAGTTTTTATTATGGGGGACATAAATTTAAGTCTGCATATATCAGCTATAAACTAGTACAAATATTAAAGAATATTTGCTCTCATCTGCTTATTATTTTCCATAATCCAAGTTGGGGTTTAAAGTTTCTCCTCCATGTTCCCCAAGCACTCTGCATATACTGTTCCTCATTCCATTTTTTTAGAATTCTGTTGATGCTTCTGTATCACCTTCTAGACAGGTTCCCAGATTTTCTTAATCACATTTTTAATATACAACTTTTTCATTTAGGCCGAAGTTAGTTTTCATATATGCCATCACTTTCAAAAAGTGATGACAGATTTACAAGACTGAGTAAACATGAGATAAATTGAAACTTATTCACTATAACACTTTCTAAGGCTGATTTTTTTTCTTCTTTATACAACTCAAAAGTAGGTATATTAGAGTTTTATTATAGCATCTTTGTATTCACATAACTCTAGGCAAAGTATTCCAGATTATTTGGTTCCTTAGGCTGTTACATTCTTTTTCTTTATAATTCCAATACTTGATGAATCCCTTAGATGTTGAAAATGCAAATTTTCTAAGTTCCCAAAGTGTTGTTTTGTTTGTTTGAAGATTTTATTTATTTCAGACAGACACAGAGATGAGAGAGAGCACAAGTGGGGAGGAGAGGAGAAGCAGGCTCCCCGGTGATCAGGGAGCCCGATGTAGGGTCGATCCCAGGACCCTGGGATCATGATATGAGCCGAAGGCAGACGCTCAACCTACTGAACCACCCAGGCGCCCCTAAGTTCCCTAAGTGTTGAATGTTAATGGGAATGAGAAAGGATACTAGTCTCCTCCTGGATCCCACTGCAGCTGCCCTGCATTATCTGGCCAACAGGTGGCAGCATGCTCCAGGGAAATATCTCAAGAATCCTGACAACTTTCCCCAACGCCCTCCACAGATTTTTTCCTTTCCTCCCTTCCAGACAGACTTTTTCCTTCCACCGCCGCCCCCCACAGATTTTTTTACTTCCAGACTTTTTCCTTCCACCCACCCCCCCAGACTTCTTCCTTCCAGGCTTTTTTCCTTCTACCCCCCTCCACTCAGACTTTTTCCTTCCAGACTTTCCTTCTACCCCCCCCGACTTTTTCCTTCCAGACTTTCCTTCCACCCCCCCCGACTTTTTCCTTCCAGACTTTTTCCTTCCAGACTTTTTCCTTCTACCCCCCCCAACTTTTTCCTTCCAGACTTTTTCCTTCCACCCTCCCCACCCCCACAGACTTCTTCCTTCCAGGCTTTTTTCCTTCTACCCCCCTCCACTCAAGACTTTTTCCTTCCAGACTTTTTCTTTCCATACTCCCTCTCCACGCAGACTTTTTCCTTCCAGACTTTTTCTTTCCATACTCCCTCTCCACGCAGACTTTTTCCTTCCAGACTTTCCTTCCACCCCCCCCCAGACTTTTTCCTTTCAGACTTTTTCCTTCTACCCCCCCCAGACTTCTTCCTTCCAGCTTTTTTCCTTCTACCCCCCTCCACTCAGAATTTTTCCTTCCAGACTTTTTCTTTCCATACCCCCTCTCCACTTAAACTTTCCTTCCAGACTTTTTCCTTCTACCCCCCCCGACGACTTTTTCCTTCTACCCCCCCCCCGACTTTTTCCTTCCAGACTTTTTCCTTCTACCCCCCCCGATTTTTTCCTTCCAGACTTTTTCCTTCTACACCCCCCCCCGACTTTTTCCTTCCAGACTTTTTCCTTCTACCCCCCACCCCCGACTTTTTCCTTCCAGACTTTTTCCTTCTACCCCCCCACCCCCGGCTTTTTCCTCCCAGACTTTTTCCTTCTACCCCCCGACTTTTTCCTCCCAGACTTTTTCCTTCTACCCCCCGACTTTTTCCTCCCAGACTTTTTCCTTCTACCCCCCCGACTTTTTCCTTCTACCCCCCCGACTTTTTCCTCCCACTTTTTCCTTCTACCCCCCGACTTTTTCCTTCTACCCCCCGACTTTTTCCTTCTACCCCCCCGACTTTTTCCTTCCAGACTTTTTCCTTCTACCCCCCACCCCCGACTTTTTCCTCCCACTTTTTCCTTCTACCCCCCGACTTTTTCCTTCTACCCCCCGACTTTTTCCTTCTACCCCCCGACTTTTTCCTTCCAGACTTTTTCCTTCTACCCCCCACCCCCGACTTTTTCCTTCCAGACTTTTTCCTTCTACCCCCCCACCCCCGGCTTTTTCCTCCCAGACTTTTTCCTTCTACCCCCCGACTTTTTCCTCCCAGACTTTTTCCTTCTACCCCCCGACTTTTTCCTCCCAGACTTTTTCCTTCTACCCCCCCGACTTTTTCCTTCTACCCCCCCGACTTTTTCCTCCCACTTTTTCCTTCTACCCCCCGACTTTTTCCTTCTACCCCCCGACTTTTTCCTTCTACCCCCCCGACTTTTTCCTTCTACCCCCCCGACTTTTTCCTTCTACCCCCCCGACTTTTTCCTCCCAGACTTTTTCCTCCCAGACTTTTTCCTTCTACCCCCCCCGACTTTTTCCTCCCAGACTTTTTCCTTCTACCCCCCCGACTTTTTCCTCCCAGACTTTTTCCTTCTACCCCCCGACTTTTTCCTCCTACCCCCCCGACTTTTTCCTCCCAGACTTTATCCTTCCACACCCCACAACTTTTTCCTTCCACCCCCCTCCCAGACTTTTTCCTTCCACCCCCCTCCCAGACTTTTTCCTTCCACCCCCTCCCAGACTTTTTCCTTCCACCCCCCTCCCAGACTTTTTCCTTCCACCCCCCTCCCAGACTTTTTCCTTCCACCCCCCTCCCAGACTTTTTCCTTCCACCCCCCTCCCAGACTTTTTCCTTCCACCCCTCCCAGACTTTTTCCTTCCAACCCCCCCCACGCACACTTTTTCCTTCCAACCCCCCCACGCACACTTTTTCCTTCCAACCCCCCCCACGCACACTTTTTCCTTCCAACCCCCCCACGCACACTTTTTCCTTCCAACCCCCCCACGCACACTTTTTCCTTCCAACCCCCCCACGCACTTATTCCTTCCAACCCCCCCACGCACACTTTTTCCTTCCAACCCCCCCCACGCACACTTTTTCCTTCCAACCCCCCCACGCACACTTTTTCCTTCCAACCCCCCCCACGCACTTTTTCCTTCCAACCCCCCCCACGCACTTTTTCCTTCCAACCTCCCCCACGCACACTTTTTCCTTCCAACCTCCCCCACGCACACTTTTTCCTTCCAACCTCCCCCACGAAGACTTTTTCCTTCCAACCCCCCCACGAAGACTTTTTCCTTCAACCCCCCTCCACAAAGACTTTTTCCTTCAACCCCCCTCCACGAAGACTTTTTCCTTCAACCCCCCTCCACGAAGACTTTTTCCTTCAACCCCCCTCCACGAAGACTTTTTCCTTCAACCCCCCCTCCATGCAGACTCTCTCTCCCCCCAAGACACACTTTCTCCTTCCCCCCAAGACAGACTCTCTCCTTCCCCCCCCAAGACAGACTTTTCCCTTCAAAACAGAGTTTTTTCTTCAAAACTGACAGAAGTACTCAACGGTGGATAAACAAGAATCTATTTACTGAACTGGCTCCAGCCAAGATGTATTTCCAAAGCTGTAAAGGTAATTGAAAGTTTCATCCATTTTACAACTTGAGCCAGGGTCATCGCTATTGCTAGTTAGCGCCTGCTTTTTAATTCACAACAGGTGTAACACAACACAAACTAGCAAGATTCTTGCAAAGCCGAAGAGATAAAGGAACAAAGGGAACTTGGGAAGGAAGAAATTGAAAACTGTTTGAATATTCTGGAACACCTATGATATGCACATTCGATGACCTTTTAGTCTAATAAACAATTAATAAGTGATGTATTTTACTGCTTATACTATTAACCCTTTATATATAATTACATTATTAACAGATAGTAACAATACAATCAACTACAAAAACTAGTGAGGACTTTAAGGATGATTAATTTATTCCTTCTTTGTACAAGTCAACACTTACGTAAAAATAGAGGTATCTATCCCATGGCATAGATATGTCTATTTAGACTGACATTCAACACCTTCATGTATTTTATTATACCTGTAGGATGTGACTAGCATGTGATCCTTCCATAGACTAATAAAATCATAGTAAAATGTTGGGCAAGGTATATTTTTTAAATTAACAATTGTTTGAATTTATTTTGGGTTGGTTTGGTTAGAGTCAGTCATTAGCAGAATGCATTCACTTGTGTGCTTTCGTAATTTTATTTCATTCTGCCATGTTGTCACACTTACTTACACAAACTGCTAATACTATCCTTGATTTGAAAGCTTTAAGAGATCCTGACATGTTCTCTATTTAGAGGGTTATTACTTGAGTCCCTGGTTTCCATGCAGTTTCCTAGGTGACTGAGAAATCAGTTGCTATTTAAACACAAGATTAAACTGGCTAGACTTGTTTAACTGCACACACTTTATTCAAGACTTGTTTAAAATTATGTAAAGGAGTAGCCACTATGCTTAGAAATGTGTTGGGTATGGGGGTGCACATGCATGGCTCAGTTAATCATCTGCCTTCAGCTCAGGTCATGATCTCAGTGTCCTAGGACTGAGCCCTGAGTCCAGTCGC